ATAATATGGATTAGTACAGCCCGCGAAAAAACTATAGCACACTTTGTATTTTTTTACGAAAATTACGAAATTGACCAAGTTTGACGAAAATTAAAATTGACCAATTTTGAACCCAATATAGTGAACCTAGCAAAAAAACACCAGGCACACCCATCTCATTGATCAAGAAGTAGTAAATCTTTAGTTACTTTACTTATTATATCTACTTATGCATAATTACTTATTATTTAATAATAAGGTATTTAAATTTCAATATTAATATATTTTTCATAAAACTATTGTTACACAATGTACTATTACTTTAATAAATGTTTAAAATCATGAAATAAATGTACAAACACAGTATCTAATAGAGTTTCGTATCTAATAGAGCTAGAAATCAGGTTCGCAGAAAATGCTGTTTACTAGTTAAATTTAGTAGGAATAACACGATCTGTGACGTAGGCTATAGTATACCCAATCAACTTGGGTGCACACGTTAAGAAATTAACACATTGCATGCGGACAACGTTTCCAAAAAAAAAAAAAAGTATTGCAACTGTTATAGATTAACATATTAAAAAGTGGTTGGCAAGATTTCATTAAAGTTGGAACAAACTTCTCTCCATAGCTACAACTTCAATTTTAAAAAAACAAATTACCATCAGTGATTGTAGTTCTGATCACATATAATACTGAATCATTTATCTTTGTGGTAATCACAACTGGATAATTTCTTTGAAAAACAGACCGGAAACGAAGTAATTTTATTACCACTTTTTTAACTCTTGTATGGATTGCTGAAATTTCAAAAGTATGTTTTTACGTCACCCGCTTGCAATGTGTTAATTACTAATTAGCTTAACCGGTTAACGCCCAGCGTCATATATTTAGGACAGTTCCTTTTTTCAAAGACATTCATTGTGGTGCGAAACTTTTTTCAGCATTTTCATTTATCTGGGTGAATTAAAAGATTCTCAGATACCTGAATGATTTAGTTATTTCTGATAAGATCTAGAATTATAAGGAGCAAGTATTTTTTGATCTATCAAAGACTTTTTGAATGCCCTAACAGTGGAAAAACCAATTAATTTCGATAATATAATATACCACTTTTTCTATAAAACCACTTCTTGTAGCATTTCAATATATAAATACGGGACAAAGTGGATTAAGCAACAAATAATACAATGCCTTTATAGAACAACTAACAATTATAAAGTAATGCTGTAAGGTTGGAAATAGGGACGAATCTCAGATCACTGTCCCTTAGCAGCATTTCGCCGAAATTAAATTTGATTTTTGAAAATTATCAAGTTAGTAAGTTAGCGTAGAAAAACAAAACAGAGAAAAGGTTAAACAATTAATAAGGTTATAAATAATAAGGTAATGAGCTATACCATCCAACTGCAGTGGAATTTTCGCAGTTTCAATAAATAATTTTCCTCGCGGTAGCAACGGTTATGCATTAATATTTTAATATATAAAGAAAAAAAATGATTTTTCCTCCTCTCTGAAGTTAAATAATTTAATTAGACATGTATGAGATCATATGAACAGATTGTTTTTTCCTTGATTTCTGACTCCTTGAGTAAAAACTCTGTTTTGATAGTTTCTAAAATTTCTCTATCAGAGTTCACTACCTCTGGAAGGTTTATTTAGCTTAATTCTCACATGTTAGAGGATATGTAATGAACTATAAAAAATTTGAACTTAAGAATGGTGACTTTTGGTATGTAATCGTACTCTGATAAACGGTGTGCAAAAGCTTAATGTGAAAATGGAGTTCTGTTTTTGCTAAATCAATTAGATTATTAATTTTCATCGACGCTTCGATCTATCCATTAAAATACAATTGTAAAAAAGAGGAAATAAAAAGGAGAAAAAAAAGGTAACATTCGATTTCACTTTGTAAAAGTCAACCCTTTTTAAATGACGATGCGCATCTTTCATTATCCTCTCCTCCTCATTTCAATTTCCCCTTGGGATGATGGGGATGATTCTGACTTCACAGAGATGCTCCCCAGCATCCCCTTACAATCTTCCTTTTCATCCTCATCCTTTCAATCGCCTGGGGGGATGCTTTGTAGCTACACCAAACCCCAAACACATATCAATCTCGCGCATGCGCAAATGAAAAAGGGGGAGAAAGATGAGGGGTGCGAAAGGAATCTGTGATCGCACATAGCAACGATCAGCTGAGAGCAGAAAGGCTTCGAAATCAATCGCAATATTTGTAGGGTTTCCCTATTATCCGATAAGATCTGCAGGCAAGGAAGTCATCTTCAATTATCAATTGGTCTCTTCGTACTTGGGTTGGATTTAAATCGGAGAATTATATTCTGAGATCGGAATTCGCAACGAAGAGACTCCCTGCTGCTCGGAATTGCTGAAGTATCAACCACGTTCATTTGCTTGGTAAGTGAAGAAAATTGAATTTGTGGCTACCCAAGCTGGTCGATAAGATAATTCAAAAAATTATACCAGACTGTGTTGTTTGTTCATTACTTTATGAACATGAATGAGTAAAGAAAATTTAATCGCTAGCTGATCGATTAGATAATTTAAAATGTTATACCAGACTGTGTTCTTACATTATTTGTATAAACATTAGTGAAGAAAATTGAAGTAAGAAGATTTATTTTGCAAGCTGATCGATTAGATAATTCGAAAATTGAGACTTTGTTTTTGCATTATTTATAAACAATAAGTGAAAAAAATTGAAGTAAGGAAATTGAGTTTATGTTCGTTTATTGATGAGTTTAGAAAGTGATACCAGGCTGTGTTTTTACAATATTTATGAACATTAAATGCTTTTGAAAATATTGTTGTCCGTGTTTTGAAATATATATATTCTATAAATATTTTCAATTTTGTCATATCTTATGAACAATATACATTGCCAATTGTTCTGTTTTAAGAAATTTCAATTAAATCACTTATTTTGACTTTTTAAGCACATCAAATTTTCGGATACATAAAAGCTGTAAACAAGTTGAAGAATCATTGACTCTAATCAAATAGCTTGAGGATTGAAAACCTAGAAGTGGTTTACATACGAGAAACAAATTAAATTAAAAAGAAGAACAAACGAATTCTCGTTGTTTGAAACACTTTATAAGAGTTCAATTTACTTTTAGCATAAACAATGCACTTTGATGCATTTTAATGCGTTGATACTGATACGCGAAAAAGAAATACTTTATTGATACCTTTATATTCTATTTATCGAACTGGCCATGGTGCAGTTGTTTTATTATGAAAATCATGGACAAGCTTGTCGAAAAATTTTGAATCATGAGGGATCCCCCAGCAAAATTTTCCTGTTCGCTGATGAAGGGTATGCCAAGACTGCCCCCACTGCCCACTGGATACTAAAACGACCGTGGTGGAGTAGAACTTTTTGCAAGATTACTGAAATAACAGCGACTAGAAGGGTCAGTGCTCGAGGCAAAATTGTGGATCTGGGTCGTGGAAATATGTGTATTAAAGGACGCTTTAAAGGAATTGAGGATCCAGATTTCAAGTAGGTTTTCTCTTCTTCTTATAATCATGACAGAGCATGAAATTATCATTTTGATCCTTTTAGGTTTCAATCAAACGAATACTTCCTTTTGCTAACTATCACTTAACGAGATATCGTTAAAATATCAGTTTATATGCACCATGGATTAAATAAAATTATCCTAACCTCATCGTTTTTACTTCATTGCACCATTAACTCATAATGGACGGCCTTAAGTGTCCAGTTTTATGTTCAAACTAAGCCCAAGTTAATAATGAAACAATTTTTTATAATTTAATTTCTATATTGAACAATTCATCCATTTGGTGAGCACGTAATATTTGAACGAAAATGCAGCCATAGCATTTTATTTTTTAATCTCCTTAGATAATGTATTAGGAAATGTTTTAAATTTAATTACAAACATTTATGGATATTTTACGTTGGAAATTTTTTTAAACATTTCTTAAATTTCTTAATTTTATTTTAAAATGATTTGAGCTACCAGTAAATGAACAGGGTACCGTTCAAAAAAGGTTCATTATTTCAAAAGTAGCAAGGCAGTTTTTTACTCTTTGTCTAAACGAATTCGAACCATATTCTTAATATTTTTGCTTTTTTTTACATCTATATTATATAAAACGCTAATACGTACATATGTATGTATGAATAAAACCGATGATATTTCTTTTCTCGCGCTGGCAACAGTTTTCANCACCATGGATTTAATAAAATTATCCTAACCTCATCGTTTTTACTTCATTGCACCATTAACTCATAATGGATGGCCTTAAGTGTCCAGTTTTATGTTCAAACTAAGCCCAAGTTAATAATGAAATAGCTTTTTATAATTTAATTTCTATATTGAACAATTAATTCATTTGGTGAGCACGCGATATTTGAACGAAAATGCAGCCATAGCATTTTATTTTTTAATCCCCTTAGATAATGTATTAGGAAATGTTTTAAATTTAATTACAAACATTTATGGATATTTTACGCTGGAATTTTTTTTTTTTAACATTTCTTAAATTTCTTAATTTTATTTTAAAATGATTTGAGCTACTAGTAAATTCGTGATATTTGAACGAAAATGCAGCCATAGCATTTTATTTTTTAATCCCCTTAGATAATGTATTAGGAAATGTTTTAAATTTAATTACAAACATTTATGGATATTTTACGCTGGAATTTTTTTTTTAACATTTCTTAAATTTCTTAATTTTATTTTAAAATGATTTGAGCTACTAGTAAATGAACAGGGTACCGTTCAAAAAAAGGTTCATTATTTCAAAAGTAGCAGGGCAGTTTTTAACTCTTTGTCTAAACGAATTCGAACCATGTTCTTAATATTTTTGCTTTTTTTTTACATATTTATCTAAAATACTATTATCAAAATAAGTTAAGCATCATTGGCGTCAAAAATAATATGGCGAGTTTTCGCTTTTCTCTCAGACGATACAGTGCCATTTCTCCATTAATTAACTTTTTTTAGCACATAGTTTATTTATTTTTACTTCAGTTAGTACCTTTTATCACAGTAAATTAAGAATCATATAGATCAATAATAGTATGGTGATTTGCTATGCATTAGTGATGCTTAAATGAATTAGTATCGTTTCTCCATTAATTTTAATCTTTTGTTCGCAGCTAATTTTTTAATCCAATTAGTACCTTTATTAATGAAGTATCATTACCGTCAATAATAATACGGTGATTTTTTTACCTTTCTTAACGATTTAGAATTATTTTTTCATTAATTTTTTCCCGTTTTTAGTTTAAATTATGTTGATTTTAAATTATTGAATGTTATAGAAATACGTTTTAAAAGCATAATTATATAAATGAAAAAAAATAAACACGTGATGTCACATTTCTTAATAATAATTTGGTGAAGCAGTCAGCCTATGCTACCACGCTCACGTTGATCATTGTGTTTATCAGACCTAAAGAGTAAATATTAATTAAAAATCTAAGAACGTGCATTAAGAACTTCTTTGATTAATGAGAGCTATATTCAAGCAAACATCACTGATGCTATCCTTAAAATCGTCTGCAGCCTTATTTCTATCAATGGTGCTAACTCTAAGCCAATAAAAAAATTCCATATTTTAAATGTCTCCCCTGAACGATCTAATTAAAATTTTTGAATGATTTTTAGGATCGGGTCTTACAAATGGCCCCTTTCCATTGACCGAATTGTACAACGATAGAAAAAGAAGTGTTATAGGAGGAACGCACAATCAGAAACTCATTATTTTATTATTATAGATATATTATGGTTCGTAGAATTCTCTTGTTTATTAAAAATAAATCTTAATAATGAAGCAAATGGGATGAAATTTTGACGTTAGTTCAGAGGGCTGATTGTGCCCCAGAAAATAGAAAAAAGTTGTAAGTTAATCTTTTCCTACCTAACTTGTTTTAAGTAAAAATTAAGAACTCTGCCTACCAAGACTTATTAAAAGTTATATATGCTTTCAGGATGGAAGATAACTGCTAACAAATTTTGGTAATCATGGACATTCCTTTCAGAAACAAGCTAAAAATTAATTAATTTTACTACTAGTTTTTTCTCCGCATTGCGAAAAATTCTGGTTAGTTTCGTTTCTATCAACACGTTTAAATTTCGTAAGATTTGTGGGAAGCCTGTTCATTATGTAGGCCTTGCTTTTTTAATATAGTTTCTATTAAAGTCCACCACTTGCTTACTTGACTATATAAAAAACCCTAGAGGCAAAGGATTAATTTAGCAAATATTTACAAATGGGTCTTTAAGTTTAGAAAATTTATGCGATAAGTACAGTAAAATTAGGTACCTTACTCGAAATTGTACTACTTCAAAGATTATCGTCATAGCTGCCAAATTTTACTATTTAAGCAAAGTTTTTTGCTGGCGATTGACTCTATGTTCAGGAAAACCCATAAAACCCATATAATAGGTTAAAAAATAGATATTTTTAAACAAAAGAAAAAATTATCAATAAAGAAAATGTTTTTAAATATTAAATTTTAACTTATTATTACTTATTAACTTATTATTTAATTATTATAAATTTTATTATTATTAAATTTCAACTTTTTTGACTGTTATGTTAATTCTGTTTCTTTTTTCTTTTTTTTTTGTTTGTTGTTATTTACTTTTTTTATACTTCAGCTAACTAGTGTTATTTAAGAAATAGGTAAATTGATTCTGAAGTTGGTTTGTGACGTAAAAAGTTTTTTACCTTCGTAAAAACTTTGTAAGAGCTGAGTGGATGAAGCGAAGGAGATTTTCACGGGTATTATTAACATATATGGCAACGTTACTTTTAAAAAGTAACGAGTAAAAGTACAAGTATTCTTAAAAAAAGTAACGAGTAAAAAGTAAAAAGTTCTTATTTTAAAAAGTAACGAGTAAAAAGTACAAGTAAAAGTACAGGTACTAAACAAAAAAAGTAACGATTTAAAAGTACATTTCTAGGAAATCGAAAATTCAAAGTAACCTAAAATTTTATTGAATAATATTCTTATGTTCTTTAATGTTTTTGCAAAATTGTTGTTATTTATTTAATTATTTTT